AGACCAGGCTGGCCTCGAACTCAAGGAGATCCGCCTGGCTCTGCCTCCCGAGTGCTGGGATTAAAGGCGTGCGCCACCACCGCCCGGCTATGTTTGTTTGTTTTTTTGAGACAGAGTTTCTTTGTGTAGGCCTGGCTGTTGTAGAACTCACTCTGCAGACCAGGCTGGCCTTGAACTCAAAGGGATCAGCCTGCTTCTGCCTGCCTACTGGGATTAAAGGCATGTACCACTATGCCTGGCCATAATCTCATTTTTAAGCAGAATGAATGTGGATTTATTAAGGAAAATGAGAAGGAATAACATTAGGGAGCCACCAAGGCAGTAATGCTCCATAATTTTATGTTTAACAAGTTATACCATAATAAAAACAGACAAAACAAAATAAAAATTGGAGAATTAGTCCAATGCTCTATTTTTAGCAAGCAAACAAAAGGAATAAAATGTGCCAGACATGTTCACACACCCTGGTAATCCCAGTATATGAGAAGCTGAGGCAAGAGGTTTAAATCGTGTTTGAGGCCACCCTGTATTATATAGTGAGACCCTGTATTAAAAAAAATTGCTGCTGGGCATGGAGGCAGAGATTCCAGGACAGACAAGGCTACGCAGAGAAACCCTGCCTCGAACCACTGCCCCCACAAAAAAAAAATTATCAAATTTTATTCATTTTAATTTATTCTTGGGATATTTCATATGGCTTCTTAAGGTTTTTATGATCAGTTAGTGAAAAAGATAATCAGAATATTTTATTTACCCTAGGAGTGATTTGGACTAATGTATGTATGTACTTTCTGTGGGGACGAGGTCTTCCTTGCAGCCCAGCTTGGACTGACTTCCAGCTTGCTGACCTGTCTCAGCTTCTTGAGTGCTGAGATTATAGGCTGCTGGTTTATTTATATTGCGTTAAGAACTGACAGATAAGAAGCATGGTAAGACAGAGTTAGAAAATATAGACTACACATAGAATTACAAATTTGGAAGTTAGTGTGTTTCTATTAATGGATTTTTTATTGATTTCTATTAAAATTTCAGTTTAGATGTCTGTTTGGTTTTAGTAAAGATTGTTTGAGACCTTTGTCCTGAGTTCATACATGACGTGAAAAACCCATGTTTCCATAGGTTCTGCACTTCCCTTACAGAATCCACCTCTGCCTACCACTTTTCAGCCAGGAGCTCCTCCCGGGCCCCCTCCAGCTGGAGGCCCACCTCCCCAGAAAACACTTCCGAGGGCTGCAGTCCCACCATTTAATTCAACTGTCACCCAAGAAGGTGAGTAAATAGAAGGCAGAGGTACTGCCCAGAGTCTCAGCTCAGGACTGAAAGGAGAATGTGGATAGATACATCCTGTCCTTCAGAAGCCTGTTTCTGGAATACATTAAAATAGAATATTGTAGGATTCTTTCTCAATCTCCAGGAAAACAAAAGATTCCAAGACTGATATTTCTTTTCCATAAAGCTGCATCTAAGTTACTCGAAACATTTGTGTATTTGGTAGCACACACCTATAATCCCAGCACCTAGGAGTCTAATTTGGAGGCTTATGTGTGCTGTGCAGTCATTCAGTCACTAAGATATATTCCTGTCCTTTCTCCTGCCAGTATCTAAATTTTTATTTTCACATTTGAGCTTTTTAAAAATTACTACTTAAGGTATATATTTAGAGGGTGGAGTGTGATGGTTTGATAAATGTATAATATGTGATGATCCGTCTAGTCAGAATAATTAGGATATCTGCTATCTCAAGTATTTGTCATTCCGTAATTGGTGAACACATAATCATCTCTTCTAAGCCAAACATGGTAGTGCGTGCCTGTCAGCATTGGTAGCTGAAGCAGGAGGATCTTGAATTTGAAGCCAGCTTGAGCTGTATAGTGAGATCTTGTCTCAAAATAAACAAAAACCCTCTAGATATTTTTGAAACATAGTAAATTATTTTTAACTTAGTCACCATTGTGCTCTATAGAACTCTAGAAATTGGCTGGGCAGTGGTGGTGCACACCTTTAGTCCCAGCACTTAGGAGGCAGAGGCAGGTGGATCTCTGTGAGTTCGAGGCCAGCCTGGTCTACAGAATGAGTTCCAGGACAGCCAGAGCTACACAGAGAGACCCTTCTTGAAAAAGCAAACAAACAAACAACAACAAAAAGAACTCTAGGAATCGTCCTGACACTATTCTGTACCCGTTAACCAACTTCTTCTTTCCTCCTGTAATGTGGTTACAGTTCTCCTCATTCTTTGAGATCAACTCTCTATATGAATGAGAATGTACAGTAGTTGTCGTTCTGTGCCTGGCCTATTTCATTTAACATGGTATTCTCTCTTTCTTCCTTTTTTTTTTTTTTCTCGAGACAAGGTTCTCGCTTTGTAGACCAAGCTGGCCTCAAACTCACAGAGATCTGCCTGGCTCTGCCTCCCGAGTGCTGGGATTAAAGGCGTGCGCTGCCACCGCCTGGCTCTTTCTTCCTTTTTATGACTAATATTTCATTGTGTAGATACACCTCAGTTTCTTCATCCATTTGTTCACTTCTGGACAATTAAGTTTGTTCCATGTCTTGGCTATTGTTGTGGAGTGTTCAATAAATGGGAATGCAGGCATCTCTTTGATATACTAATTTTAGTTTTTGAAGCACTTGGATACTTTTCTGCAATGGCTACACTGTTTTACATCCCCAGTAATGGTATGGAAGAGTTCTGCTTTCCCACATCCTTGTCAGCATTTGCTTGTTTGGGAGTTTTGTTTGCTTAGGTCTGTCTGTCAGTCTCTCTCTGTCTCTCTCTCCTTTTTTTTTTTTTTTTTTTTTTTAAGACAGGGTTTCTCTGTGTAACAACTCTGGCTGTCCTGGAACTCATTTTGTAAACAGGCTGGCCTCGAACTCACAGAGATCCACCTGCCTCTGCCTCCCAAGTGCTGGGATCCAAAGTGTGTCCCACTGCTACTCGGCAACCTTAAACCCTTGATCCTCCTGTCTCCTCCTAAGGGTTGGGATTAGATGTGTTCAACTTTATTCATTCATTCATTCATTTATTTTTCAAGACAGGGTTTCTCTGTATAACAGTGCCCTGACTATCCTGGAACTCACTTTGTAACCAGGCTGGCCTCGAACTCACAGAGATCCACCTGCCTCTGTCTTTCGAGTGCTGGGATTAAGGGCATGCACCACTATGCCTGGCTATATTTTAAATTTTAAAATATATTTTTGCTACATTTGTGTGTGTGTGTGTGTGTGTGTGTGTGTGTGTGTGTGTGTACATGCACACATGCAAGCATCAGAGTACAATTTATAGACACGTTGGTTTACTCCTTCCAGCATATGGATCCATTCCTTTACACCTTCCTGACCATCAACTCAGTTCATCCACAGGCTTGATGGCAGATGCCTTTAAAGATTTATTGTTATAAATCTTTTGAAACCCTGTCTCGAAAAACAAACAAACAAAAAAGGTTATTATTTCTCAGTATGTATCTGTGTATGGGTGTGTGCACATGTGTGCGGTACCCTCAGACACAAGAACCAGATCCCTGTGGAGTTGGAGTTACAGATGTTTGTGAGCTACCTGAGTAGGTTCTCGGAACCTACCAGATTTTTGTTTTTTGTGGTGGTTTTGTTGTTGAGATAGGGGTTTGCGATGTAGCCTTGGCATGGAATTCACCATGTAAACCAGGCTGGCCTCAAACTCAAAGAGGTCTGCCTGCTTCTACCTTCCCAGTGCTAGGATTAAAGGCATGTGCCACAATGCCTGGCAACATTTTGACATGTTTGATAGGCTGTGACTTAATTAGTTTATTAAGGGTTTTCTAAATTTTTAGGTATTAGTTCATTTCTTGAAGACTTATTTAAGTCTTGTTGATGAATTTGCTTTTCAGGTGTTCCATCACATGCCAATAATGGATCTATGGTGGCTCATAGTCCTTACGATGAAATTGAAAGAGGTGGCTTCTTGGGTGAGATGCTTATGAATGTTTTTCTTTTTTCTCTGATTATAGAAGTAATATGTGTTCATTGTATGGAACTAAGAGAAAAAAGTTGGTTGTGTATGTGCACCCACTGTTGATATTTTTTTACTTCCAGGCTTACAAGTTTCTTCATCCTGTTAGAATTGGAGCTTTGGGCTTTATGTGCCGTGTTTTAATCAATTATACGTGTTTATATCCGTGTACCTAAGTCCCTAAATTGCATTTAGGATGTATTCATTAGAGTTTTTTTAATGAAATTTAGTCTGAATATGAAATTTATTATATGATATGGATGTAAATTAACTATGCTAAACTTATTTCTGTGTGTTTATGGCTGTAGTCTATATTAACTAGATTTTTGATCTTGCTATTACTTGTTACTTATGATTGGTTCTCTTTAAGCCAATAAATGAAACTGTAATTCAAAAAATTGATGTTATAATTTTCATAATTTAATGGATCATTTAGGTGTTTTAAGTATTCAGGAACATAAAATAGAACTTAAAAGTTACCTTGTTTCTAGCAACACCACAGCTTACTAATCAGAACCCCAAAATGAGCCGAAGTGTGGGATATGCATACCCCTCCCTACCACCTGGCTACCAAAACACAGCGCCACCTAGTGCAGCTGGAATGCCACCCTCCTCCCTGAATTACCCAAGTGGCCCCCAGGCCTTTGCTCAGGTAAACTTTCTTTTAATATTTTTTTAACCTTTAAAAAGGTACATTGAATGTTTTATAGCCATTTAGACTAAAAATGAATATTTCATAAAACTTTTTTTTAAAGGTTTTATTTATTTATTATGTATCCAGTGTTCTGCCTGCATGATAGAGAGGGCACCAGATCTCATTACAGATGGTTGTGAGCCACCATGTGGTTGCTGGGAATTTAACTCAGGACCTCTGGAAGAGCAGCCAGTGCTCCCAACCTCTGAGCCATCTTTCTAGCCCCCTTTAGAAGGCTCTTGTACTTGCTTATTTCTCTAGACCCTCAACATGGCCAGGAGTCTAGATGATGCTCTTCTAAGCTATCCCTGTCTATCCACCTACAAAGTTTACTCACTGTGAAACTGTTTGTAGACTCCCTTAGGTGCTAATCATTTAACTGCGAGCATGAGTGGATTAAGTCTACATCCAGAGGGTCTAAGAGTTGTCAATCTTCTTCAAGAAAGGAACATGCTTCCCTCGACACCTTTGCAGCCTCCGGTTCCAAATTTGCATGAAGACATCCAGAAACTCAACTGTAACCCAGAGTAAGGCTTCAGTAGCATTTCTTATGACAGTGACCATGTTCTCAAGTTTTCTGGTGTGCTTGTTAGGTGTTATGAATAAGCTGTTACAGGTAGACTGTATCTTAAGATAGGACTGTTAAAGCTTACCTGAGATTTGCATGTTCTAAATAAAGAAATGTAGTTGTCAGTCTCCTACAGATTGCGGCCATCCTGCTTCCTAAGTCTGCTCATTTTCTGAATTACCCTGAATAGTGTGGTGACTCCTCCTCTGTCACCCCTGTTCTTAGCATGCTTTCCCTAACACTTTGGGCTTCCTTACTGTTTCTCTGAAGCCTCCTCCCAGCCATGGGATTCATTGTCTACCATGAGTCTGATCTCTAAGTCAGCTTAAACAGCATGGCACCTTATAAGAGTTGCAGCTTGCCTGGCCTGGTGTTTCCTTTAAAACTCTAGTAAAATTGTCCTGGAACTTAAAAAAAGGGTGTGTGGGGTGATGGTGGTGGTGGTGGTGGCGGCGGCTAGGGAAAAGATTTATGTCCCTTGAATTGATTATTCCTTTTATTAGCTCTAATAAGATTATTAGATTCATGATCATTAGTGTAGCTATATTTCAAAGTTCAGGGATTATTTTTTTGTTTGTTTGATTTGAGACAGGATCTCTGTACATAGCCATTTGCTGTCCTGAAACTAACTATATAGACCAAGCTGATCTCAAACTTAAGGGATCTGCCTGCTTCTGCCTCAGAGTGCTAGGATTAAAGGCGTCCACCACCACCACACCCAGCCTGGCCTCAAACTTTATTCTCCTTGACTTAATCTTCCAGATTCAAAGACATTATGCTCACCTCTTTAGTCCCTAAATCATATTAATGTATGTAGTAAAGACTCGTAAATTGCACAATTTGTTATTTTGACATAATATTTTTAAAAACTTTAGTAAAACCACTCTTCAGTGAACTCTGACCTGGTATACCAGTGTGTACATGTAGTCCTAGCTCTTTGGTCTGGTGACATAGGAGGATCACTTGAGCCTAGGAGTTCAAGACCAGCTTAGGTGGCATACCAAAACCCATCTACAAAATAATAAATTCATTAAGTAATGAATTAATTAAAAAATAAAGTTTTTGTTTGAGGATTTGAGTCACTACCTACTAATTTCGAAGTAATAATTGTTAGTCCAGACTGTTTTACACAGAAGCCAGATGAGACTATTCTTTATGAGTAGTAGGTCTTTGACTTAATTTCTTGTTTTAGTTTCTTTTTTTTTTTTTTTTT